TAAAGTAATACCCCCCCCCCCCCGTTCGCATGGATGTCCGTACGTACACATATATTATTCAAATAATAATTATACTATTATTAAAGTATTCATTGTAACAGGATATTTAAAATTAGATTTATAATAAAATTGAATTAACAGTATAAAAGGAATATCCTTACTTATAGTTATTCTAATAAATAATTATAATTTATCACGATTAATAAATATAGTACACAATAAAAAATTATTTAGATCTTTTAAAGTTAATGGAAAAAAGATTAGAATATAGTAAAATGAATATAAAAAAATTAATTAAATAAGTTTCAGATATACTAAAATGAATATAATAATTATCTTAATTATAACTGTGCAATTGTAATTAATTACTAAATAAAATTGCTTCTTTAAAAAAAAAAATAATATTTTCAAAATAATATTTGATTAAAATTTATTTCTTATAAATAAAATACCGTATTAATAATCTGACAAAGTAAAAAATTGACTCATTCGTGGAAGGATTTTTAATGTAATGTCGTTTCCGTGGAATACGTTAGCGAGCCGTAATTTTTTTGTTTTTTTTTAACACTTATTCATATACGCTATTGAGAACTTGCGAGGCATACGAAAACTTATACGAGATAGAGTCTAGCATACAAGTTAGCGAAAGGTCTGTCATTGGAGGATGGATGTTTTCGCGAACGATCACTGACGCATCATGTTGTTGTCGCTTGGAATTATAGCGCGATTTACCATAGCGCTGTTCACAACCGTTCATTAATTATTTGAAGTTTCAAATCAAACATAATACCAAGTGTCTTTAAAGCCTGAAGTACTTATACTTCTATTTGTTCTCTGTTAATATAATTAGTCTCTTATAGTTTATTTCGAAAGTCTCAGCGGCCATCGAGAAAGTGCAGCAACAAAAGCCGAGCGTGGGTAAGAATTTAACAATTGCGACCGTGACACGCATGTTAAATGATTATCATCAACACCTTTTGGTTCAATTCATTTTTATTTCCAGTATACCCTTTTCACTGAGATTACTAATAATTTTCAAGTTTGTTCAATATTGAAATATGAGGCTCGTAAGTGTATCTCAAATCTTATTAAATATTTACATATATATGTGTGTGTACGTATATGTATTATAATAAATTGGAATACAATATAGGTACTTAAATATTTTAATATAAATAATGAATTCGTTAAGGAGTATATTTATAGTTTCAAACTTCCAGCTACTAAATATTAAATATTAAATTAATTTTATACTTTGAATTTACCGACTTCATTTATTGAACTAAAAATATATTTAAAAATTTAAATATCATTTCATAAGATATGATTATTTGAAAAGTTATGATAATACTAAAGAACTTAATTTAAGGATACAATCAATTGTTTGTAAATACCCAAACATATAGCATTTTAAAAATGAAATCTTTATAAAGTAATTTTTATGATAAGATTCTTTAATTATTATACTATAAAAACTAACTACTTTCTATTTTGTAACATAGATAATATTTATCATTATAAAGTTTTTTATTTAAGTTTTTACTATAAAAATATGAAATTACTACTCATATTATGTAAAATATAAAATGTTTAAACAATGAAACTATTCCCTTGTTTGTATATTTTGCTTTTTCACGTATTGTATTATTTGATTGAAGAAAACAAAATCTAATTAATGAACATTTTAGTTTTCAAAATTTTCTGAAAATGCATTTTAAAATGTATTGTGGTGTGCTTTGGAGCGAAGTTGTTTGTTTATAGTAAACTATTTGTTAAATTTTTATTCTTTATATGAAATTGATAAAATACATTGGATACTAAATAATTTCAATTACCGTTTTATAAATATTAATATTTTAGTACAATGACTATTTTTACTTATTTATTATATGTAAAGCTGCACATAAAAAACAAAATAATATTTTTCTTAATCTGTAACGTTATTTAATTAAAACTAATAAGAAATTTATTGTCTATTAATTAATTATAGATTTTAATCATTTTAATTGAAGAAAAAATAAGTGCAGTATGTCATTTATTAAATAAATGATAAGCGCAATGATCGAAATACAATATATATATGTAAATATTAATGCATAAGCATGCATAATAAAGGTTGACAAAATTTTTTATTTTTTATTCTTACTATATAAATCAATAAGATTAAATAAATTAAAATGTTCAAAAACTATTCTTATCAATTTGATGGTGTATAGATGAAAAGCTTTGAATGGCAAAAATTTGAAATTAAAAATTATTTTTTATTTGAATTTATTTTAATGCATTAAGCATGAAATTGTGATAATATGTCGCTAATTTTTTCACTAAAGATTATACAAAATCGGAAACAAGTATACTTATATTTATTATAGGACACTTTGTCTTAATATTATGTTTTGTATACGAAACTCGTAATGAAGCACGCATTACAAATGTTACAACAGCTCCCGACTTTCTTCCTTGGTCGCACACCTCCAAGAAAAGGCACGCATAGAGCCAAAAGTATTTAATGAGGTTCTTGCTTCATTCTTTACAGTGTGGATTTTTCTCTTTATAAAAAATATAAAGTGTGAAGTGTCGAGTTTATATTGAATAATATTGAAAAATACGATGCTTTCATTTTGAGGCACCAGAAGAATTCTAAGTAAAAACAAAGAGGACAAAAATTACTTGATATCAAAATTTCACATTGGCTACACACATCTTAATATGCAGATTCAGGGACTATATTGGTTTTGTTTAACCTTTGTATTCGTTTTGCTGTGGACAAATTCAGTGCAGGCAACTTCATTTGCTCAGATGATACTTTCATTTTTTCAATCGGGTAAGGTAAGAACTTTTATGAGAATAATACTCGCAGTTTATAGTAACAATTTTAACACATGTTTCAGAATATTTTATACAGAATCAGAAATAGTTGATAGTATAAATTCTATAATTGAACGTAATAGAAATTATAGAGTCGACAAATTATTTCAGTAAAAATTTAGATACTACGTTTAGTAATATTTAAATATTAAGTCTATTATAGATACAGATTTAAATAAAAAAAAAAAAAGTGTTTTTGAGTATGAAATCACATATTTTGAATACTTTAACATATTTTGAAAAGTTTATTTAAAAAGAAATATATTTGTTCTAATCTAGAAATTGATATCATTTATTTTTTAATAATATTTTATTTAGTTTACTTAATTAAAAAAAGTTTTAGTTCAAATGTGATGATGATTATTTAACATTAATCTTCTTTTGTTTCAATATATTTTTATCTTAAATTAGAATTATTACTAATAAAAAGTATTTTTATTTTTTATGCTAGAATTGATAATTTTATAGTTGTATAAAATCTAAATGTCCAAATACTTAACATTCAAATATATAATCTTTCTTTATTTTAATTTTAAAATAAAATATTTAAATTATTTAACTTGTATTGATAAAAATTGTGTATTCTAATCTTATACTTAAATATAATTTGGATTATCTTATTAAAAAAATTTGATTTCCTATATATTTATAATTCATATTTGATAAAAACTATGTAATCATTAATCTAATATATTAATAATCTAATAAATAAATTATATAAATAATATCAGGAAGAATAATATACAAATAATTTATAAACTATAATTAACTTTATATTTTTCAATATGCACAAAATATATTTATTTATTTTTGGCACGTATTTTAAAAATTGAAGTTCATCATTATAATGCATTAGGTCATGATTTACTTAATATATTAGTAATTAAGTTGCCGTTATTATTATTTCATTATTATACATTATTTTTATTCTATTGTTATAAATTATTTTTATTATATTATTATTATACATTGTTATTATTTTACTATTAAACATTAGTATTATTTAATTATTATACATCATTATTATATACAACTGTCCTCGTATTTAATACACGACATTTCTTATATACATAACATGAAGGATTTACTTTTATTTATACTACAGAATAACACTTTATAAATTTTTTTCATAAAATACCTTATGTAAAATACTGTCTAATATGTAAATTTTCAGTTACTTTTTAATAGATGAATATATTATGATTATTTATCTGAAAAAAAATAATACGAACTAGCGTTGTGTCATTAATTAGGTTCAATAATTATTTATTTAATTATACATTTATGTAATACCCAAGTGGCATTTCTCTTTTTGGTTTGTAGTAATCTTTGATGATCTGTAATACCTTTGTATCGTCATCGATACAAATTTTTTTTTGAATATTTAATTCAGTTCTATTATGCATACCAAAGAACAGAAAGCTATCTTTATATTTGTCCCAGTCCATTTATAATAATGATGACTGTGGTGAAAGCATTCTCCTGTGACCTCAGTTACTCTAGCAAACATACTATTCTTGATTTATTCCAAAAATAATGAATAAAGTTTATATATGCATATGGATATATGAAGAGAAGATTTATAATTGTTTAACCTGTGTCATATAAATTTTAGAAATAATGATATTTAAGAAGAATTTACACCCTTCACTTATCAAAATATAAATAATTTTTTTGTTAAATAAAAGTATTATTTTAAATACAATAATTGAATTGAAGTATTGATTTCAATTTAATAATAAGATTTTATTTAAAGTAAATGAAAAAATATTTGCATAATTGTTATATATCTCAATTATATGACAATTTATTTAATCAATTAATATAAGCAATTATATATATTAATAATAATAATAATAATAATAATTCATTTCTAATACCATTGAATATAATATTATTATGTAATACATTTTTAGAAATAATAATAAATTACAGCCAAATAAATTCATACAAATTCTTGATAATTTATTTTAGAATTTACGATATAAAGATTTTATTTATATACTTTTTAATTCTACTTTTTTCATATAAATAATGAATAGTACAAACTTAAAAGTTAAACTTTATTATGAATAAATTGAATTTTTATAATTTTATATACTTAAATATATATGTATAAATTTTCACTCAATTTCAGAATGCTCTGGATTTCGAAGGTGCCTTCTATCCCAGATTAGAATTTGCTACAAGAAGACAACAAATAGTGCCACCACATGTTGCGTTTCCTTGCGATCTTCAGTATAGTAGGTATGTTTCAATCATTAATTTCTAAAAAATCAATTGAAAAATTAATTTTGAATAAGATTTATTTAGAATATTGTTTATTTCAATAAAATAAACAAGTGATCATTTATTTACAATGGCCTCAACAATCTATGCGAATTAAGAATTTGTGAAAAATGAAATATGTATAAAAAATTAATTTTACGTTGAAAATTTATAACTTAATTAAAATAAATGCATACAATAATTTTCATTTAACGAAGTTTAAAAAATCTGATGATTTTCATTAAAAAATAAATGTCTGTATAAAATTCTTGAATAATATTTGAGCTAATATTTATAAAATCATGTTAAGCAATAGATATAGAATTTTTAAGAATTTAGTATTTTCAATGAATGATAATGTTTACAACCAAAATACAATTTTTTTTATAAAAGTTATATTAAATATGTATGTGAATATTTGAGGAACTGAATACAAATGAATTTGATATTAATAAAGCTCATTTAAAAGAATTGTTTTGATGAGTAATGGTAAACATTTTCAATATCTAACAGCTGTACGGCGTAAAAAAATATTTTTGTTGATTCGTTAAATTGAAATTATATAAATATATGGTGGCAATAATATTTCATTACCCTTTATTTTCTCACCTTTTTATTTAATGTCGTTTAGAAATGATATGAAGTTATTAGTAATTAATATCAGTTAGAAAATTCTGAAGTCTGTTGAACTTATTATTCACAAAAGCTAAATACAATAAAATTTTATCTCTTGGAAAAAACAGTAATTTTGTAATAAAATAGAACTTAAATGTTTTAAAATTATGTTTATTAATTTCTTGTTTTTATCCATTTGCAGAAATCTTAAAAGAATTAAAAAAATTTTTAACGGATCTACAATATTCTTATTGTTTATTATCTAAATTAAAAGAGCACACTTTAACTATTAATAGTATAGTATGTAATATTATAATGTATCCATTATGCAGTCGTTTGGAATATTTAAAAAGCAGTTTTATATTCTTTCACTCAGTTATCTCAATTGACTACCAATTAGTAGAATACAATAATAAATATTTCATTTTTCTTAACAGTATATTTTAGCAAGTTGAGTTTGAAGTATATCTAGTTTAATAAATAATTGAATTGTTTAAAAGGATAATGCATCAAAAAAATTTTATCTACAGTTTCGATTTAATACCTTTAGTGATTTCAATTCAGTATCAGAATAAGCTATGTAAGAAGATATTTCGTAATGTCTGGATACAAATAAGATTGTACTTTACTTATCACTGGTTATATACTTTCCGATCTTTCTATTTATCAAATATGGTAGATTTTCTTTTAAAAGGAAATTAATAATATGTCTTTTGAATTTAGTATTTTAATGTCTCATGATAAAATTATATTTATTTGTATTTATGCATTTTTTAATTTGTAGTAATTACTATGAACTATCTGCATTAAAATTTACACTTGAAATATATAAAAATTTATACAATAGATCAGCAGTGCCACCAACAAGTGTTCACCGATTAAGGCCAGGGGACATCGATGTTATCGGGGGATTAGGAGATTCTTTAGTGGCTGCAAGTGGAGCACTAGAAGAATATGCTATTGGAACTTTTATAGAGGCACGAGGAGTTAGTTGGTGTGTCGGTGGTCAAGATGATTGGAGAAAATATTTAACTATTCCGAATCTTCTCAAGGTAATAATAAATAATTATGTATGTTCTACTTGTTGTTTTGAACACTTTTATAGTATTATAGTTCAAGGAAGTTTTTAATCGTAAACCATATGAAACCAAATATAATTTATAAATATTTACTAGGAGTATAATCCAAGATTGACAGGATACTCAACAGGTACTGGAGAGTTCATATCACATAAAGCAAAATTAAATATAGCTTATCCTGTAGCAGCAGCAGAGGATGCATTATATCAAGCAAGGATTCTTGTGCAAAGGATAAGGAGTAATAGAGCTATTGATATTCATAAACATTGGAAGGTACATAATTTTCAATAAAAATTCCATTGATTTTTTCTATTATTTAAATTTATATGCTTTAATAGTAATTATTAATAATAACTATTAGAATTAAAGAAATATATAGATAATTATCAATATACGGTATCAAGGTTCCAGTTTTTATTTTTTGTCTTATTTCACATGATATTTACTAGTTTATTTATTTGATCACTGCTTTATTGTCTTAATATACCGTAAATTATTAATACTAAAATAATACAATAATAACATAATAAAATAAGATTGCAGTCTAATTTTTTATAAGTATACCCTGTTCTATCTATTGGAAGTAGTATCGCTCATCTATTCTTATAAACACTTGGTTAGTATCATAAACTAGTATACACTCTACATTTTCTATAATTCTTATACGTAATGGCTCTGATCATGTTTGAAAATATTAACATAAAATTGTTTTGTATATGTATTTAATATGTTTAATAATATTATTTTGTTACAAGTATCTGCACACAGATATTTTTTACAACTTGAATTTATCAATGTATTTAATTATATTTTTCTTTTGGTGTCATTGATTGTATATTATGATTGATTGAAATTCTAGACAAGTTTAATTAATACGTTCTAATTATTTCCTTTTTAGAAAAATCAACATAATAGTATTCTTTTTGGTGGCAAATAAATACAATATTAAAAACTTATAATTGTTTTTATAATCTAATTATAATTGTTTTAATAATTGTAATTATTACAATTTAAATAATTACTAAATATTTAAATCACAATAAATTTTTATCGAACAATATATTTTTAACTTCATAATATTGAAATGGGTACTTAATTTGCATGAGTAAAGCTACTGAAATCATACTATATACAATAATCAAATTTTACTTGGTTATTCTTTTTTAAATGAAATCAATTAACTTATTAAGAGTTACTTTTGTTGCTTAGAGTGAAAAATGATATTAGATTCTAAGAAAGGTGTTACAGAGAAATAGAAAATTGATAAATATGAGAATGTAGTTTATATGGACAGATTTATATGTCAATATTGTTTATCTCTCTTTATATGTATAAATAAATAGTTTATCGCTCTCCAATATATCACATTTAATCTGATTCATTTTATATTGAGTCTTTTATTTAGACGACTCGATGTTGTTCTTAACAAAAATACAAAGAATTTTGTTATTTGAAAAATTAATGTTAGTCTGTTTAAAATTAAATAATTAAAAGATCTTTTATATGTTCTTACAAATTTTTAGATTTTTGTAGTACATGTTTAGTAGCTTACTATATTAAATGAATAATAATCACAAGTATTACTTCTTTACTACAACTTTTTGTACTACGACAATATTACAATATTTTCGTAGAACATAAAAGGAAATACCAATTACAACTGTAGGAAACTATTACAGCATTTATTATTAAATGGTTTGAATTAAAATATATTCGATCAGACTTCTTATCTCTTGCTATTAATTTGCTATATCATGTAGATTTGCAACGGAAACTTTATGCACTTCAGTATCTTCGATCGATGAGAATTCTTTTTACACTGCATCTATGTGTCGGAATAATTTTTCCCTAGCACTGCTAAATACTTTATATTAGTCTTAAATTTAAAAACTTATAAGAGTAACATAACTTGGTCTAAGATATAATGGATGATTTACTGAATATATTTTATGTTATTTACTACCTTTTTATAAGAAAGGTGATTATGTTCTGGTTTATGTACAGACTACTTTTTATTTTAATGATTTTTTTCTCTACCGTTTCCTTTTTGTATAGGCAATATATATTCAAACAGTTGCAGAAATAGATTTATGCTTTAATTTTCGTAATGTTTTAACCTCAGATCTCAACGCAAAATCATTAGAATTGTCTCTTTTATTTATATATTTACAGATGTTATGATTACTTTCCTTATGCACCAAATAAAATTATATTTTTTAATTAATCTTGAAGTTTCTTAATACTTATTTTAATATCTATATCAATTCACGTCAATTATAAATAATATTTAATTATACACTAATAATATTACAGATGATTACAATCTTTTTCGGTGCCAATGATGTTTGCTCAGCACAGTGTTATAATCCAACAGAATTTTCGCCTATTCGATATATGCTTCATTTACGAAGGACTTTGGATTTTTTAAGGATAGCTTTACCTCGTACTATCATTAATTTAATTCCAGCCATCGGTATATATATATATATATATATATACATATACGAATAGTTTTATTTAAAAATTTTATCCAACAAAGAACATAAGAATTTTTATTTTATTTTGTTTTACATTTTAAAATTCATCATAATATAGTAAATATTATATTACAAACTTCTCAGAATATATAAAAATAATTTTGAATTCCAAATGTTCAAATTTATTGTACATTAGTACTAAAAGATACTGTATTTTAAATTTATAAAATAATTCTATAATTAATATATAAAGAGTAATTATTTATTTTTTTCTAATTTAATATCCTACGTACTTTTTTAATAATTATGGTTTATATAAATTTCAAATAATTATTTAACATATGTTGCATAGAAATGCTTGTTATATTTGTAAACAAACATTTGCTTAAGTTGCTTAATACAAAGTAATATATTATTTATTTTGAAAATATTTTATAATTTTATTTAAATACTGTGTTCTAATTTTATATATTATAATAAGTTCAAAACGTATTAAAATATTTACATAAATGATTGTAATTGTGATTATAATTGTGTTTATAACATTTCTAATCCGTTGCAAATTTATAATATAAGTTATACCTAATTGTAGATGTAACTATATCACTACGTTTGCCAATGCGTAGTGTAATGTGTAGCATTTTGCATCCTCTTTACTGTGCTTGCATGCATCGAGGAAGTGGAGCGGATATTGCAGCATCCAAAATGTCTCATATGTACCAACAAGCAGCTGAAGATTTAATAAATTCTGGAAGGTAATTGAAAATATATCGTTAATATATTTAATAAATATAAAAGAATTCTTATTATAAAAAATTGGTAGTTAATTTTAATTTAACTTCGTATCACAATTCATTAGAAATGTATACAATATTTAATATTATTATTTTAAGTTACATTATAATAATTTATTATATAAATGTAGCTAATTGTATTATTATATCATTAACTTATTAATTATTACATTTAGTACATTAATACAACTATAAATAATTGTAGGGTATTCGAGAAAATGACATACTTTTAACTTAAATTAATCAAAATAAACTTGTAATCTCGTAATGCAATCTCGTAAATATATAATTCAATGGATATTTAATAAAATTTTGTTCAGTTCTTATATTGCACTAATATTTCCCTTTGCAAATTGTAGATACGACATGTCTGATGATTTTACAGTCGTATTGCAACCATTTATAAAACTGTTTAATGCTCCCAACGCAAATCCCAGATTTGCACCAATGATAGATGCAAATTTAGTTACATACGACTGCTTTCATTTTAGTCAAAAAGGACATGCACATGGTAAGTTTATTCTCTTATTGAGACATTTTTATCTATCAAACTAACAATTAATTATCCATTTTTATATTGAACATTTATATGTTTTATTATACAATGGTTTATTATACAATGGTTTATTATCAAAATAAAGTGTAAATAAACATAAGTTCACAGGAATATTTAAATGAATTAAATATTATAAAATATATGATATAAATTTTATTTGTACTGGTTAGAAAATATATAATACTATTTTAATTAAATTGAAAACTTTCAATTATAATTTTAAATTATTTATTATTATATTATTAGATAGTTTCATACAATAATATAAACATGGTGCACAGTAGTTAATCTAGTGATCCATGAGATAATAATTTTAGTATTGATTATCATCAAGCAAATTTATTTATATTTCGTATTTATTTTAAGGAATCTAGAATTAAATATTTTAATATTTATGTATAAAATATGAAATTCTATAAAAGATTAAATGTCCATACATAAATATAATGTTTATATTTTTGTAATATTTATAATTTAATAAGTCAGAATATTTATGAGATAAATGCATCTTATGAAATTGTAATATATTTTATATATGATTTATCATTATTATTCACTAATTATTTGTTAATTATTTGCTATCTATTTATTAATTATTCCATTAAATAGTTCTTGTTATTAATTTCGAAAATGAAATTTCTATTTAATTCAGAAGAAATTTTATTCAAATATTTCTATGCTGATACTTGTTTTTTTTAAAAATAATATAATATTTTTTAACATATAATTTTATAACAGTAGATGTTTAAATAAACCTAAATAATATATGGAAAATATACGATAATTGTAAAATTTAAATTATCTTTTAAGAACAATTAATTTATTTTCATTTACATAAATCACTTCTTTTAAATAGAAACTTATATAATTCAAATATAAAAATCCAATTTTTTAATGTTTAAATTAGAAGAATATACAAATTGTAATTATAATATATTAATATTTTTTTAAGTAAAGAATTTTTAGAATTATAATCGAAACATAAAAATTATAAGATAAAATATTAAATGGTTATAAAGTAGTAAATTTTAGTATTTTAGTATTTTAAGCTTTTATAATTCTAAAGTGTTGTCGAATTCATTAAGTTACTTTCTATTTTTATTAGTATTATTTTTAAATGGGAGTTATAATTAATTAATATTAAATAAAAAATGTAATCCTTTAATAGTATATAATACAAAAATCAAATAACTTAAAATAGAAAGTGTTCTATATAAAAATTTTACATATGATTATATAAAAGTACTTTAGCTGAATCACGTATAATTCTTTTTATCATATATTCTATATCAGAGATTTTATCTATGCTGAGTATATTGTAAAAAGTAACTACAATAATAAAGTGTAACCAAATTTATGTCTAAAGTGAAGAATATAATAATTTACATTTCGTAAATTCCAATAATGAAAACAATATGCAAAAAATTCAAATAATTTTCAAAATTCCTTCTATCTGATCTCTGTGATCTAGAAAATTAATTTATACATGCTTCAGTATAATGATAAAGGCTTAATTATTACTATCTTAGTCTACATAAAATACACTTCGTGAAACATGTGTTTGTTTACATGTCGATGTGGATTTAACTTAATCTATGAAAATTGATGAATACAAAAAATATGTATGTTTTTTCTACCAGGTGCTAATCTTTTGTGGAATAACATGTTAGAGCCCGTTGGTAATAAAACAAAACAGGGATTATCACACATTTTCGAAAGATTTTTGTGCCCAAGCAGACATGCTCCTTACATTTTTACCAATATCAATTCAAGAAATTTTCTACGTACTGGAAGCCAAGAGGGCATGAGTCCAGTAAGGTGATTAAGATAATAATAGAAGAAACAGACAAGGATTCGTATAATTTTGAGTTTATTGTATACTTACAACTTTCTTTTTATTGACCTGGGATTATTTTTGTTTGATGATTTTTTATGGATTTACTTCTGCTATTTTTGAATCATGGATCAAATAACTGACTTTTAATGTTTTTTACTTTACGTCAAAGTTTATACACTTCGCAATACATTAGCTTTTCGTGTATTCCATATACAAATATATTGATTTTATCTCATTTTATTAATGAGCATTAATTTTTTTTTATATATTATTAAATTAAGTTATTAATATATACAAAATTTAATTACGATTATATATCAGTTATTTGTATTCATATGGTTGTACACTACAAGTACAGTTATATATATTTTTAGTGTCTCTGTATGTATAATGGATTAAAATTAATATAAATAATTAATATAAATAAATGCAAAGTAAATATTTTTAAATATTATTAAGAAATTTTATATAATTTTACTATTTTCTGCATTTACTCTTTAATAATTATGAAAAATTAAAAAAAACAATTTTACAGATTCAATTGTAAAAGAAGATTATAATTAATCGATCCTAAGTCATTTCATATAGAGCCCAAATATCATTATTTTTATAATTAAAATATAATTGATTGAAATTTACTTTTGGTTGAAAATGAATATTTTTATATTATTTCATTTACAACGTCAATTTATGATAAATAATAGTTTTACAATTAATTTATATGCACGTATAGCTAATTCAAAATATTTAGATATTAATTTTTAAATTAATTAAAAATATTTTTTAATACATTTTATAACAAAAAAAATTAAGGTATGTACATTAAAATAATTTTATAAGTTTATAGTTATTTTTAAATATTGTTTAGACTGTAATATAATGCCATTTATTATATATCATATTATTTACTAAAACTTGAAAAGTAATTAGAGGTACTTTGTATGTTATTCTTACTACGTGATTGATATGAAGTTTATGCTCTATAATTAGAAAATACATGTTTTTATTTAATAACTAAATTTGTTTAAATTGTGATCAAATATATGTATTGTATGAAATGATATAAAATATGTATTTTAATATATGTAATGATAAATCAATGAATTAAAAAATATTTATTTATAATAATTTTTAGAATTTATAAGAAAATAATATATTTAATCATGTTTTCATAAAATTGTAAAATTCAATAAATGAATTATTCGTATATATGTATTTTAACATTTTTAGTTTTTTATGTTATTATTAAATTAATATTATTATATTATAAAAATAAATAAATTTTATCTTTAAAATTTTTAATATGAAATAAAAACATGTTTAAAAATAATACTTTATGTACATATATATTACATGTACAAATATATAATTACAAATATAGAATACGACGAAATCTAAAATAATAACTAGAAAAATAATCAAGAATAAGGAAACAATTTCATTGGTATAAAACATTTCCTCTTCTATTTTATCATAACACTAATTTGGTGATAATTAACAAATTACGATATTACGATATTACGAACATATTAATCATTAATAAATTTTAATATTAACATATATTATTTATTAATATATTCAGATTTAGAATATATTTTTTAAATTAATTTTTATGCAGGAGTAATTTTTTATTATGATTATAAATCATTAATTTATATTTATATTCAATATCAATTTATTTTTATCTATACGATAAAAATGATTAATCAAAATTCTATACTAATTAATTAAAAGTATTATGCGTAATAAGAAAATTATAGATGGCAAAGTATATGAAATTTAAATAAAATAATAATATCAATTTTAATAAATAATATATTAATTGATTATTTTATATAATTTAATTAATAATTACATATTTTAAATAATTTAATTTGTCAGCTAAACTGGTTTATGGAAATATTTTAATATTAACAAATAATTTTATGAACTAAATAACATCATTTGAATTTTTTATCTATATCTAATTTAAGAGAAATTTTTAATTTGCTGAAGAAAATTTTTAATAAAAATTTTAATAAAAATTAATTTGTATTAAATAAAATAATTTTTCATACACAATTTTTATAAGTAATAATTTTACTATATATGTAGAGGTAATATGTACATCAAATGTGTATGTTCTGCTTTATTTAAGCAAATCATTATTTTTTCTTTATAACCTTTCTACAAACTACACAAAATATTGAATGACGTATTCGATATAATTGAATGACAGAAATTTTATGATTGCATAAATAAAATGATATTTTAAAACTAAATTAGATTATTTAAGCAAATGTATCGACTAAAAGATTTAATTGGATTTATAATAATTTGATAGAAATTAAGTATTATAAATATATTAAGTAATTATAAACTAAGAATATATTAAAAGTAGAACTAAAAACATTTTCGGTGAACTAAAAATATATTTTTATTATATTAGTATTATATTAGTTATCATACTAGCATATTATTTCATTCAAATTTTCTTTATAACTTTATAAGTATCAATATATAATAAAAATAGAGATGTATTTAACAATGCGTATTATCTAATAAATCTTTTAAAAAGATGTATGAGTATAGGTATCGAGATAATATTGGTATTATAGGCATTGAATATAGCATATTGTAATAAACAATTTTATTTACATAAATTTGAATTATAAATTAATTTGATTTCAAATTTTTTTTGATAGTTTGATGTATATCAAATTTTTATATTTATTTTAGAAATAAAATTACTTATGAGTCACACTCATTTTTACTGCTAGATTAAATTTAAAATATATAAAATATTATAGGAATATTAATATTTATATACAAATTATTTATAAATATTTATGAAATAATTATTTAAATTAAAAAAACTAATGTTTTAAAACAGACTTGTTGTAGCTATCAATTTTTTTACAATCATGATGATTCTATTGCAAAACTTTAGTGTACATAAAGTTTGTTTAAGCCAATATTATCTAAACGAATGATATTTGATTGCCCTTAAATATTTTATTATTAAGTTTTAATCAGTAAATAAAATTTTCATTCGCTTTTTTTCATAAGATATATATTGACTCACACTTGTTTCTTTATTTAATAAGTATATTCTAATTATAAAATCATTATTGAGTAAATATAAAATATTATTTTATTTTAAATCGGCCATATTCATTCTCATATTATCGTACATTTTGCTTACTATATATTAATTAATATTTTAAGGATATTATTATCATGAATAGAAATTTTTTTTATTTTCCGTTGTACTACCAATTTCTATAAATATATGTATAGCAACCACTACATATATATTTATGTGTATTATTGTTTTTCAAAATGCCAATAAATTAAATGTATTAAAATGATGACTTATTTTATATTATTTTATAATTGTTAGTAAGTTTATATTTATTTGGGTTATAAATAATAAGAAATTATATATATAATTACTTTTTTAAATAAATTTCTTTTTTGAGCAATGAATTTATAATAAAGTTGAGTGAATTCAAATTTACAATTATAATTTTAATTCATTAACTGCTATTTCAAAATAGATAAATGTCATAACACAACCATTAATATTATATAATATCAATACAATGTCATAATGAAAAATATAGTTTTTGTCATTACACAACATAATTGAATTGTAAAACACAAAAATATAATAAATTAAACTTTATGACTTATTTAGTTTTTTATTATTAATACAATCTACAGAATATTTATTATTATATTAAATAATAGACAGAGTTATTTTTTAAATTTTTCGAATAAAAAAATCTTCTAATGAATATAATTATCAATATTTTGTTTATTAAGAATCATAGATTATAACAATTTAATTTTACATTTTATAGAAATCTAACTATACTTTGATATTATCGGTAAAAACTTATTTTTGATCAGATTAGAAGCAAACTTCTCATTTTTGTTATAATATGACATATGGTATTAAAATATTGTTTTTCTTTTTGAGATTTAATTAATAATTCATCATGTTTCAAGACCTTATCTATACTTTTATATAACTTTACCAATATTTTTAATTTAATTTTTGCACAATCATAGTTTAATAATCACATCAGTAGTCATTAAAAACATTATTTCAAACTAAAGTTACATTAAAATATATTTGATTAAATTTATTTTATATTTATTAATAAAATTAGATAAAAAAAAATTGTGAAAAACTTAAATTGTATAAAATTTAAATCATGGTTTATAAAATTAATTGTTTTGAAGTGAGTATTAAATTTATATATATTAATTTTGAAGAACTTCGAAGTTATAAAGTATGTATAATTATGTTTAGTATTACTTATATTTTTTTATAGATTAAATTTGTTATTAATACTAGACCAAATAATTTTATTTGTACATTATGTCATAAATTATTCGAAGTTATCTTAAAAAATATAAATAATTAAAAATTATTAATATAATTTAAAAATAATTTTAAATATAAAAATTACTTATTAAATAACATTAGTTTTTCCAAAATTTATTTTGTAAAAAATAGTTTTTACCAGCTTGAATTAATATTAAAGTTTCTTTTAATTATTATACGTATTTACTACGTGCAACAGCAGTGGTGATGAAAAGTATTTATTTTCCCTCTTCTATATTATCTATAAAATAATTATATTTATACGTACTTGAGTTTGTAGAATATGATTATATAATCAGTGTTTTAACGTCTGTTAGTATTGCTAAATGATTTTATGTTTGTTTATAATGTACGCATATTAATTATAGAAATATATAATGTTCAAAATAATTAATAAAATAAATATCAAATATATATCATAGATGTAAGTATAAGACGAAACAAGATAGATATATAGATATATTCTCTACGTTTAAAATTATGTTGAAAAATAACAACAATATAATATATATCAGATATTAATTATATTTAGAGATATTTAGATATAATAAAAGTTATATTAATAATATGTTTATTCGTCTTCATATAACATTATATTATGTCATA